CACACTCCTCGCTCATCCTGACCCATCAACCACGCCTAGTATAGCGGTTGATGCATCGGATTTTTCTATAGGAGCTGTTATGCAACAGAACATCTCTGGAAGTTGTAAACCTCTCGACTTTTCTCACGACGCCTCAATTCCACGGAGACGATATATAGCGCTTTAGGTTGAGAACTGCTAGCAGCCTACTGTGCCATCAAACATTTCCGGCAGTAGAAGGCCGCGGTTTCATCTTGTTCACCGGCCATAAGTCTTTAACGTATGCTCTGCATACCAAGTCTGACCGTTACTCACCACGAGAGTGCAGACATTTGGACTATATATTTCACTTCACGACAGACCTTCGTCACATCAAAGGCGAGTCCAACCATGCTGCCGATGCTCTGTCACGTACTCAAGTGAATGCAGTTACTTTACCGGTGCTCGATCTTCCTGCTATAGCTGCCGCCCAAGCAAGCGATACCTCTTGTGCAGAAGCACAACATTCTACATCTCGTCAGTGCCTGGAAGTACCCCTAGCTACTAGCTCAGCTACTATCCTTTGTGATACTTCTACTGGTTTTCCCCAACCCATCGTACACTCCGCTTACCGTCGTTTCATCTTCGATGCCCTGCATGAACTCTCTCATCCAGATATCACAGCTCCTGGCTGCACGTTACGTCTGGCCGTCCATGAATAAAGATATCCGTATGTGGGTAAAGCAATACTTACAGTGTCAACGACCAAATTGCACAGGCAAGTAGTTGCCCCCATTCACACGTTCGATACGCCTGATGCTCGCTTCGATCACATTCATATAGACATTCTGGGACCATTGCCACCATCGCATGGGTATGATCACATACTCACACTCATCGATCGTTTTGCAAGATGACCCGAAGCTATTCCCATCACGTCTATCACGGCGAAGACAGTTGGTTGCCGCTTCGTAGAATGATTAATAGCGCTGTACGGTTGTACTTCGACTGTCACGACCGACCGAGGACAACAATTCGAGTCCGGATTGTTCTTCTCGCTGACCTGACTGTTCGCACTACCGCTCACCACCCAGCATCACTTGGTTTAGTTGAACGGTCTCATCGTCAACTTAAATGTGCTCTTCGAGCACACGAAAACATCAATTAGTACGAAACCTTACCGCTCGTCCTTAAAGGCGGATATTCAATGTTCCGCCGCTGAACTTGTATACGGCCCGACATCGCGTCTGCCTGTGGAATTCTTCACATCACGGAGCAGTAACGACTTTGGTAAATCAGACTACGTCTAACGACTGTCTGAATTTATGCGATTACTGCCTTCGGTGTCAACTAGAATACAACATCTACAGGTCGCTCTCTTTCGAGAGTTACCTAACTGTTCACACGTTTTCATTCGAGTAGATTTGGTACGCAAACCTTTGCGGTAGCGTTACGAAGGACTTTTTCACATGACTTATTGTCACGAAAAGACCTTCAAGGTTGATCGACATGGCCGCATCAAGATCGTCAGCATTGATCGTCTCAAACCAGCACACATTGATGACAGTGACTTACCTGATAAGTTGAGACTCATTGTTAGACCCGTCAAAATTACTAGCGAAATCTCTACATCTGCTTTAGATCCCACGCCAGATACATCGGAGACCTCATTCTCACGTCCCAGTCAATAGCGTGTGTCGTCTGCACCACCTATGAACGAGACTTCGGTCTCCCGTTCAGATCAGCAGACCACGCCGCCCTTGACTTCGGGTGCGATCGCAGGCTCATGAAGTACGAACGAGTCTAGCGTCTCACGTTCCAGTGGCCGAGTACGCCTACCCGTACGCTTTCGCGCTAACCACCCAATCAACAACGAATACGGTTTAGGACTCTCAACCTATATTACATGCATGCTACACCTTTTCTCTTTTTCCTTGATTTTTTTATCCTGAGCCCACGCCTCTGACCATCGCCCGTTCGGTACCGTCAACTTCAGTCAACCTTGGCGAAAGCTGGCCTGATCACTCACGTTCCTGTCAACGCAATCAGTCGATTTTCTTGTTCCGAATATTGCCTGGAATACATTTGACCTCGCACTTGGTTTTTATGGTCGCTTCTGGTTTATTGACTCAACGTGGTTTCGTCCTACATCTGCAGCGTTTCTGGTCCGAACCCTTACGGACGCAATCTTCAGACCTTGGATATAAACCACTCTGGTGTGGTATGCTATCTCGAGCAACAAATACAGCACGTTTCTCTTGGTACCGTTTTACGTGAAAGAATTTCAGCGGCAACTCGAGGATCAACGACCGCTTCCTATTCCACCAACACTTTCGTCTTACAATCGCACGTTTGCTGATCAGTCTCACGAACGAAACCGCCACGTATCGAAAGTGTAAACCCTTTCTAGCGAGGGGATACTGTGGTGACCTGCTTTTATGAAGAGAACGCGATTGGTGTAATGGAAACAGTTATTGTTAAAACCAATTGTACCAGTGATTGTTTTACTGTACCTGTTTGTTTAACTGTACTAAAATCATACCTTCTTTCGTTAACTGTGACCTCGCACGCTTTCGTTTACGCTACGTAGTCCCGCTTGCACTATTTGGCACGATCTCGGTATTATTTCGATACCACGAAATTGCTAAAAATATATTGTATTACGACATTCATTTGTCTTTTAGTTTTTGTTCTACGAAGGGGTCAAACCCAATATCTGGTACGTATTCTTCCTATAGTGGTGATCATAGTCAATCGCGACTCGACGCCTACTACAAGTCAAAGCGATTGGAGATATAAACTTCACAAAAGATGTTTCGGTCCGTTTTTGAGAACTAGAATCTAAACATGATGTATATGTTTCAAGAATTATGTGAGAATGGTCCCAGGTCATCACTATCGGATGCTAACCCAGACAAAAATGAGTTATTCCCTGATTATTTCAACAAATGGCACACAATGGAGATGTTTTCTTGCAGAAATAGTCAGATAATCCTTGTCAACGTCCGACTGATGCCCTGTCCTATGAACGTTCTATCTTCAAACGACTAAATGGTTCTGTTATTGAAAAAATTAACAGCACCTTGTGAATTCCATCCTAGGCTAATGAGTGGACTAACATTGTCAATGAAGTTGGTGTATTGGGACGGTTGACGTTTGTCTGCTCATGCCGAGGTTGGATTTTGTAACGCTTGTCCAACCATTTCAGTCGATTCCTTAGTTTTGTTTCCGACTGACATGCGGATATGTTTATCGTCCCCAAAGTAGCGAGTATTAGGTGCGTGCAAGCAATAAGTGTTGATGATGTTTATCAGTTTGATTAACTCGCGAACTTTTCTATAACGTATTAGATAATGAAAGCTGTAAGGTCGGTGAACTGTCACTGTGACCTAGCCAAGTCATCCGGCAGCCGATCCTCGTCAAGATCTAGGAAAATCAGCGCGTATTATTAGTTGCACGCCGTGGACTGGCGGGCATTAGCAGGTGGTTGCCCTTTTCTTCTTGTACGCGCATCAATATATTTCTGTAGTAAAGTTGTTGGTATCGTACGGTCACTAAAGTAGTCATGGTACTTGGTTACAATGAAAAGGTGGTCCACGTTGGGCAGTAATCTGAAAGTGTAACTGCAAGGTAAGCTGGTTGGTCTTGCCTGTTCCGTTCAACGCAAGTAGGCTTCCAGACCATGATTACAGATCCCTACGTTGGAGACCTTCGTTGGTAAGCCCGACGTGATCAACACAACCATTTATCTGTTCAATTATTTGGGAATCAGGAATATTGAAACCACAAGCGCGTTTGTTTGTTTTTAGTTTCAGAATTTAGTGAATATGTTTACAGACTAGTATTAGCCGTTCGCATACTAACCGCAAAAGATAGCGTATTGAGACGTCGAAAAACATGTTTTTGCACATTTAACTTCGAACAATCAGTTTGCGCTATTATGAAGGAGCCGAAGTCATGGATCTAGTCTCGTTTGCAGTAACCACTTATATGCTACCAAATGGAAGAACCATTTTACATAGCCTGCTGTTAAGATAAAAGTACTGAAACTGATAAAAGTACTGATAAAGTACTGAAACTGGTTGTTTACTGTTTTATTTCATGTAAACAGTGAACTTCCTACTTTCGTCTTCTGATTAATACGCGACTCACGTGTTTGTCAACCACAACTACTTGTTTCTCAACTTGCTCTCCATAAAACATTCATACAGACGATGGAATTGGGCGTTCCTGAGTTTTTTTCATCGGAAATTCGCGGTTAGTACAACAAGTGAATAGCTACAGAAACAGTTTGATACGATCAAATAAAGTTGTGGTAACCAGATTGCTGGAATTTCGTGCTCATAAACCCTACGTATTGTGAACCGACAAGTTGAGCGACGATCCGGTAATAGTAATGATGCTTAAAACTCATAAAATACCTGTACATATTTACTTCCAAGCCTGTTTGGTGTCTAAATGCTTGGTATAATCAAGGCCATGCGATAACTGGTAGATACATCCCAAACGAATACAAACTAATCATTTGTCAAAAGGGAGAGAGATAATTTGAACACAGCCGAAATTACTTGCAACGGTTTTGATCTAACCCACCTTTAGTTTTCCAGCTTTCTAATGAACTGGGTCCCGAAAAACTTTAAACGCAAAATACGAGGCAAAAGTCATTTACTCCGTAAATGAGGATAGCTTATTCCATGAGTAGGTATAATTGCGGTCTAAATCGTTATTCGTACGTTTATCTTTGTTACTATAATAATAAGCCTAAACCCATACTTGTAGATTTGTCATGATGTGACTGTTTGTTTTATAAGACCTTGCGTGGAAGTCACATCATTGTCTATTCTGACCCGTCGTATCGCGAAAATCTGCAAGTAGTGAATTACTGAAATTCTCTCCCAGAACACAACTATCTATGCTGACTGACTAACCGTTCCCACTTAGTGGTATAGGAATGACTGGTACCAACTGTTCTAACTGTTTATGAATATTTTTTCGATCACTTATTTCTAGAGGTATATTACTTAATCTAGAAATTTGAACCATTTTGAACCATTTGAACACCTTAAAAACAAGCGAACCAGGAGAAACACATACTTTTGAGCATGGCTCATGGCGTCTTCTGTTGATATATTCAAAACGAGTTTGAACCTCCACAGTGTTACAAACTGCAAGGAATAATATAGGTCGATAGACCTCCTATCCTTATTACTGAAGACTGAATCATTTAATCCAGATCGGAATTTGTAGGTCATACGCGCGATGATTTGAGATCATGACGGTACGTGCACGCTATGCGATGGCTTTGGCTATTTTTTAACATTTCGGTTTGCATATTTGTGTAAATATCTTTGAGTCCTGAAAGCCGTACTTATGAAGCTAAACGGTCCATCCAATTTTCATGGTTTAAATCTTGTTTATTAATTGGACTAACTAGTATTATTCCAATTAAATGGTAATGTCCATCGGTGTTTGAGTACGTATCTATAGAAAAGTAGCGCATTACATAACGTATGAATAACACTAAGTGGTTTTTGTGTTCTGTACGGAAAGACTCCAAGATGCTATCGTGTTTTAGTATTAAAAATGAGCGATTTATTTGTCATTGTAGCGATACAGAATGAGACCTTGTCAATAATAAAAACATTTTACCGAAAATTAGTGCAGGAAGTTCGAATTTGTGATGAAAAACTACATCTTTTGGTATTATGGAGGTTTTTCATACTTTTTAAAAATATAAATTAATACTTCAGTCCTGTTGAACTTCAGGAGCCTCTGACAACAGTATAATGTTAGTGAAACATTCCAGTTTAATGTTTTCATCCAATGTACTTTGGAGTCTAGCCCCGTCAATTTTAATCCAGTACTACAGTTTGTGGCCTCTTCATTATCACAAATTCTAAGGTTTTTTAAAGGGAGAGCCTTGCTACTTCACAAAAATGTCTAAGCAGCATATCGCTTTGTTTTTCACAGCATACGAAGCAGTCTATGTAGATGCTCTCTAACAAGAAATACAGTTTTTAGTGAAACTATCGTTTGTTCAAGCTTCATGTTACAGCAGTTGCGAGCCAAAAGTTACTTGAGCTTTACCTTTCCTTTAAATCCTTTCATAAGGTTCATATACTGCTCTTATCGAACATCAAAATGGCGTCACCTTAATTTGTGATTAGATATTGTGTAGTGTGTTAGTGTTGCTGTTCTAGGATCCAGCAGTTCGGTGTGATCAAACGTTATGTAGCATGAAAAAACCAGTCTGGTTATCTCCTATGGTGTCAAACAAGGGCGTTGCTTACACTACTTATGACTGACTGAGTAGAGGTGTTGAGTGGTTATCGACCATCGGATTCAAAATGTACTGATCTGATATTGTTAAGGCTGTTTATTCTAAGTACCTAACAGTATGTCCTATATTAGTCTTTGCGTAATACAATTGCGTTCACACAGAATGGTGTAAGTTTCAGTTATTACTAGGTCCATCATGGCCATTTTTTGCCTTACCGTCTCTGCCTATTTTAACTTGCAAAATCACAAAATTAATTGAAAGACAATTTGCTAATCTACACATTCAACCACTGTCCGTCTTCGATTTTCACAGTTCAGTGGAGACTAGTTCTAACAAATAGTGATCTGATTTCAGGTACATCACTCAACTTGGTAAGTAAATCACACATCACTACTGTATGTAGTGGAATAACATATGGCACAGTAATAGTATTTCTTTAATATGTTTGTTAAATGTCAGGTAATTTAAATTATCATGTAAGTTAAGATTACTCATTAGTATTTTGCAAAAGTAAATCGCCATGGTAATTATGGTATTTTCTCAAACGATATACAACTCATGAAGTCAACGTTTTCATTTATCTGCATTTTGCAAGGGTTTTTCACTTCATGTTAGCAGCTACTTTTCGTCCGATTTTACTAACAAATCGGTTTTCTTTTTACTCGTCGACTGTCAGACCAAAGTCTCGTGATTGTTTCTTGAAACTCAATACACTTAACGTTTATAAACACTTCGAAAAACTCCATATTATACAACCAAACGGGCGGTATATTATTCCATTCATTATAAAACGCAATATTAAATTTTGTGTGTCTAACTCTAACTGATTCCAGTTAGATCACATGAACTGGTTGTTTGAATTTATTAACTAAATGCAAAGAACACCATTCAGTATAACAGTCAAAATAAAGTTAAAAATCCAATGATAACGTAACTGACTTATCAATGGGAAATAAGTTTTTATGTTACGAAAGCACCACTCATGGCAAGTTTTATTTTTATTTAAACGCGGATACTGGTACAAAGAGGCACCAAATATATATACGCCACACATCATTCGATTCGTGTGAGGGTTGGGATATTTCCCAAAGTAGGTAAGTAAATCACACAGGATAAATATACTTTTGATCCGTTGGTTTGATTGTAATGTTTTCACTAAAAATATTTCATCTCGTAGTATACATTTTTATGATGCCTGTTTTCTTTGCAGAAGGTCTATATTCTGTATGAGCACGCGTTAGGATATGCACTGTTCCGAGTTAAAGTCAAATCATCAGAAACTTCAGATGCCGTTGCTGCGTTACAACAGTTAGCTGCAGATCTGTTAAACGATGAAGAAGAGTTTATGAAATGTTTTAAACTGCACGCATTTGTGCCTTTCTCCTCCTCAGCTAGTGCTCTACAAAATTGTAATGGGATATCAGAAGGTGTTGTTCCACAGGAACTTAAAACATTCATAGAGGAGAATTTACCTGCTTCCGATGTTTTGCTGTGCGTCTCAGACCGGAAACTTGCTGAATCTCTTAAAGCGCCTGAAGTTGGATTGCCTGAAACTATTGCATGTTCATCTGAATCCATTCTTCACGAAGTCTTTCGGGCTCTCCGATTTTACTTCCCTAAATACATCAAAGAATTTTCGCATTTCGATGAATCAAAAGCTCAAATAGGTTTGGGTCATAGTTACTCTAGAGCCAAAGTGAAATTTAATATATACAGGTTTGTTTATTTTTATCCTTTACTTATCTATTTGTTTAGAAACGACAATATGATTATTCAGTCCATAAATTTACTAGACCAATTAGATAAAGATGTGAATAACTTTTGCATGCGTGTCAAAGAATGGTTCTCTTATCATTTCCCAGAATTGTCAAAAATTGTTCCTGACAATCCAACTTTTGTTAAAGTAGTCGGTCTTATTCGTACCCGAGCTGGTGCAACAGAAGAAAATCTTGAAGCATTGGAGGCTTTAACTAATAGTCAAGTTGCTTCAGATATCATTGAATCTGCTAAATCATCCGTTGGTATGTTGACATTGTGTTTCTGATTTTAATTGCATGTAGGCTTTGATATTACGGATGATGATGCTGAAAATTTGGCAACATTCACTGAAAAAATTAATGCATTAATTGAACGTAGAAGACTAACACAAGAGTATTTAGCGAAGAAACTTGCTGGTGTTGCTCCAAACTTGAGCACAATGATTGGGGACAGAGTAAGTGCAAGGCTAATTGCTCATGCGGGATCCCTTACGAACTTGGCTAAATTCCCTGCCTCGACAATTCAGATATTAGGGGCGGAAAAAGCGTTATTCAGAGCATTACGAACTCGTGGTGCTACACCAAAGTATGGATTGATTTATCATAGTCAATTTATCACTCGTGCTGCGCGAGAAAATAAGGGGAAGATCTCTAGATTTTTGGCTGCTAAATGTGCTATAGCCTCTCGAATCGACTGCTTTAGTGAAGTGCTTTGTGATATCTATGGAAAACATTTGAAGCAACAAATTGAGGATAGATTGAATTATTTTGAGACTGGCACTACGCCCCCTACAAATGCTGAAGCTATGGCGCGCGCGATTGCTGAGGTTAGTGTACTAGTCTTTAATTATTTATTCAACTGTTAGTTAATCTTACCTCCGTTGATGTAGCAAACAGAAAGTTTACTTTAAGCACGTTGATCAAGCGTTACTCATTTATTTACTTACTAAATTTCGTAGAATATAAACTTTTAGTTTCACGCATTAATCCATAAAAAATTCTAAGGATCATCAACAAAATGAAAATGTCCGTACTGCTGAATAATCCATTTTGCTCGACGTGTTTCTTTCTACAGTTGCCGGAATAACTGTCCAACTCTAAAAGTTTGGTTAGCTTCTACCAACCTGTATCACCTATGGCGTAGGCAAGTTGTCTGTCTGCATATTAAAAGACGACTACACTGATCAGCAGTTCGTTCTGTCCTACTTTTCTGTTGTGAAACGTAACTTTTAAAAGTTGACGTAGCTCAGAATCGGTGAAAGTGGGTCAGAATAGTTCAGTATGTGTCTTCTATTAGATTTCAAGTTGTAAAATTATCTTATAGTTCTTGTTTCTTGTCCCACGGATTCATTCTTCAAAGATATTACTAACCACTTATACTGTCACTACTTCTCTGGCATTTTTCCTGTTGATATAGTGTTGCAGCTTGAACCGGTCCACATATTTGTCAGTTCTTACTTGGCGGATATCTCGCTCAGGCTACAAGTGGCTCAAGTTAACACAAGCCAATTGGTCCCTTTGAATCCGTGCCAAGATTTTGTCAGAACTAATGAGATTTCCAATATAATTGAGATTATTGATACGCTCAACTACTTTACTCTCGATCATTATTTCAGGCCCTGACAAAAGTCAGTCCGAAAACTATTTTACATTTGGAAAGAGAGAACTACATCCCAAACATGCTTGCATTTTTGCTTAAAGTAGTCATAACACAACATTTTGTTAGCGTTTTCACCAGACTAAACTATGCCCTCTGTGTATCCTAAGCCAACAATTGAATCTTCTAGTAGAAGATCAATCCGTGAAAAGTTAGACAATAAGCATGTCTATGGCAAAGTTAAATGAGGGGAACGAACAATCCTGACGAACACTTGAATTAACCAATTCTGATGACAGTAACTGAGGTGTGGCTGAAAGCCTGTTGAACTGTTCCCTAAAAAGTTCTCCCTCTCAGTTGAATCTCTTGGATTGAGAGTGAATAATAGTCCCATCTTTTTCCGAGATAGTTTCACTAACAGCCGGATTTTTAATACCCCTTTCTTTGATAAGTCAGAACAGTTGTCTACTGCTACCTATCGCTTCTACCTTTTCCACCTCCTCCTCTGCTTTCGCTACCCACCACTGCTCATGATCATTGCGTAAGCTTTTTATTAGCATACGTTTAAGCTATATCCACTTCTCATTGCGCCTAGGGATACGTTTCTTGGCACCTATCAGTTCAGTGGATGCCCCTCGTACAGAACCAGTCTTAAAATGTAACAACTCCTTAGGTCATAGTTGTTGTGTTTTTGCTTTCACTACAAGACCTGAATTTACTGACTTTTTCCGTACATTTATCACGTTGTCAACTGACACTCAACTTGAATTCCTACTTCTCCAAATCCATCAGAAAATCAGAGTAGACTGGTCACAAATATCTTCATTGTAGGTGCGCACTTCTGAGGGGTCTCTCGTTGGGACGAAACAACTGTCATTTATTTGTTGGTTTTCAATGGTTTTCCAACTGAGATCAATCTGTGACGAATACAACCTACAAATTAAATCACTCTCCACAAGACTCTTTAAAGTAAGCAATAGTGACTCTATGCTCATTTGTGACTATCTTTATAAAGAGCCCCCTAAAGTTATAGTGAGAGTTAACGGCAGTGGAGTTATACTATATAAGAAGTGTGAGACAGCTTTCATCAACAAACTGGTATGATAGTTGCATTCTGTTATTAACTGATTAAAGCTGAAACTGTAAACCTCGTGATGTTCCAATTCAGACGTCTATAAGCATCATGCTCATCGTGGAACTCGGCGATTCTGGATTACCGGAAATGTTGAGAACTCTCGGAATTGAAAAAAGAAGATAGCTTTTCCACACTATATAGTTATCAATAGTTGTCTCATTGACTTTTTATGTCCTTAATGAATGTTAATGTCAACGTTCCAACATTATTGCATAACTTTGATTCTAATAATCATCTATTGTCTATCAATATTAATATGTAGGATCTGATGTTCAATAGAGTGCTTTGTTGAACAATTTTATATTCTATGCTTAAAATTAATATTCAGATGATTTAATCCTTATTCACTTTTTCCTTTGGATATTTTTTTTTTATCAAGGTGAATAAATATATTCAACGAATGAAGAAAAAAGCTATCAAAACACTGAATAAAAGAGATTCAGATGGTCAAGAAGAAGAAGAAGAAGCAGCAGCTGTCACAACACTTGAAACACCTATATTAGATAGTAAGAAGAAACGTAAGAAAAAGCGTAATTTAATAAATGGGAACATCACTACCACTACTACTACTGTTGTGGATGGTGTTTCTAATGATCCGAATGAAATAGTGAATCATGATGAAGGAGAATTAGATCAACAACAACAACAACAACAACAACAAACAACTGAAATGAATCAACATCAACTGCTAAATGATGATAAAGAAGAGAAAAGTACAACAATGAAGAAAAAGAAGAAACGTCATCATTCAGAATCGATTGATCTTGTTGAAAATTCAATGTTAACAAATGGTGATCATATTTGTGTAGAAACACCAATATTATCTAAACGTAAACGATCCGCTTCTGAATCCAGTATACTATTAGAGGATATAAAATCGGATAGTTTAAAAAAGAAGAAAAGAAAAAAACATCCTATATGATGTGATTGAATTAATTTACATTTAGCTGTGTCAAAGACAATCAGCTCAATTTTTGACTATTTATTGTAAATAGTAACATTATTGGTTATTTTTTTGGTTGTTGTTGTTGTGGAATACAAAATGTATTATGAATCTCCTATTCTTCTATCTCTACACAAATCTCATTCGATATGTGTGAGGGCTGTGATACTGCCCAGGTGCCCAAACCGAAGCAGGTGGTTTTCTTAGGGGGCGGCCACCTGAAGGTCTGATACACAAGGCAATGGAGCATCGTAAGGAGATGTAGTCACATGGAAGCCGGTGACCAACAATTGGTTCATACGCCATTTGTTCCCACAGGATACTGGAGCCCATGTACACCATTGGTTTGGTTTGGAATCCGGTTAAAGCATCGGACATTCGCTTTTCGTCCTCATTTTCATGAACAACACCCCCGCCACGGGAAGGAAGTGAGTAGGATTTCCCTGGCGTGGCCGTGTGAGAGCATTTGGAGAGGGAGAGCGGACTCTCTCCACTCTCGGCCGTACCAGGGCATTTGGGGGCTCTACATTGATTACATAATGATGATAATAATAATGCACCTGGATATTTGTTACATTCTACCATACATCTGACTGTCAGTAGTCCTAATGAACGTCGGACGTGGTACAAATATATGCTAACCTACAAGTTACTATAATTTACTTATTAATTGCCTCCAAATACCCTGGTATGGCCGAGTGTAGGGAGAGTTAGCACGCTCTCTCCAAATGCTCTCACATGGCCACGTGCATACAACAATTGCTAGAGAAGTCCTACTTATTGCCTTCTCGCAGCGGGGGTGCTGCTTACGAAATTGAGGGGATGAAAAGGGAATGTCCGGTGCGTTAGTCGGGTTGGTGGATATGGAGGATACACTTAGGGCCGTTGGAAAACCCGGATTTCAAATCGATGGTGCACATGGGCTCCGGGATCCTGAAACAACAAAAGGTGTATGAATCAATTATTGGTGACCGACTACCATGTGACTGCACCTCATACCGTGGCTCCACTGCCTTATGGATCAGACATTTAGGTCGAAGGCTCCGAGTGTGATACCGTAAAGAAACCACCTGCTTCGGTCTGGGCACCCGGGCAGTATCACAGCCCATACACAAACCAAGTGACTTGTGTGGCGCATATGTATTTGGTACGTGCTTGGAACGACGTAATCGACAGAATGAGTCGAAATAATCTCATAATAACAATAATAGTGAGAAAGTTTAAATATTAATCATACAGTTTGAAAAGACGAAGTGAGAAGAATGTATATATGAAGGAATATTGGTACTAAAGAAACTAGGAGAGAAATAAAGATGGAATGTATATAATACCATTGTGACCAGTTGCGAGCGATGTCACTCAATATCTGCAATCATTGGTTTCAGTAATCATGAAGATACTAACCAGATAATCTGGATTTATAAACATTCCTTAGTTTAGCAGTTTGCCTGTATTGCTGCTTAGCGAAGTTCAAATAGGATATGAAGTTGTGGATTTAGTTAGTAGTGAATGAACTTATCAATACTAATTGTCACCTTTGGAAATAAGACTGATCTGATACAACAAATTGGAAAGCATTAAGAAAAATAAGCTTCATTAACAAATACTATTAGGTTACTGTTATATCGTGTAACCGTATTAATAATATAACGTGATGGTACCGCCAATTAGAGAACAGTGATTTGTCGACCGGAGCAATGACGCGTAAACCTGTACGAGCAGTCTAGAATCTCTATCGATTCTTCCTGCCTGTTAGAGTCCAGAACATCAATCCCAGCCTCCGCGATATGAATCATGCATTTCAAACATACTGGATTTGTATACAAACCAAACAGACCACATCGTACTATAACATAGCCATAGACAAAAGTGGCTGTGAATGTGAGAGACTTTCATTAATAGACTGGGCATAACTCAAGAACTGTAAATTGTATAGTAATAGTCTATGGATCAAATTAAAGCTTGTAATAAGGGTTCTTATTTTATTTTATTTAAACATATAGTTATTGGTGCATAAGGGCATCAAATACATAGGCGCCACACAGGTCACTTGATTTGTGTATGTGGGCTATGATACTGCCCGTGTTCCCAGGCCGAAGCAGGTGGTCTCCTTAGGGTGCCACACCCGGAGCCTTCGATCTAACGGTAATGGAGCAACAGTAGAAGGTGCAAGCCCATGTGCACCATTGATTTGGAACCAGAGTTTTCCAACTGCCCTAAGTGAATCCTCCATATCCACCAACCTAGTTAAAGTGCTGGACATTCGCTTTTCATAAACAACAGTAATGCCGTGAGAAGGCATTGGTTGTATGCACCTAGCCATGTGAGAGCATTTGGAGAGGGAGAGCTGACTCTCCCTATCCTCAGCCGTACCAGGGCATTTGGGGGCCACCTTAGCAATTCAACATAGTGTTTTAAATGTTACTGATTCAGCGAAACGATTAGAAGCTATGCCATTTTGTGTGTTGACTCATTTTAAAGTATTCTGAAACATTGATTGTATACAAACTATCAATTAAATACCGAGCTATTACACTATTTAAAGCTGTTACACTTCTCATTTTGCGAATTTTTTTAGAATATACTCGGAAATTATAAACATGTAATCTTCTCTGCTTCTGTTTCAATTCACCTTAATTTTGTTTACTCAATGGACGATGTATGTTCGCTAGGACCAAATGAGGGTTATAAATTAGTGTGATTTACAGTTGATGATCAAGATTTACTAATTTGATTTAGGGTTTTCATCGCTAATTGACATCAGCTATAATGCCAAATGGTTGACTGAATTTTGCGTCAAAATTCGAGACCTGTTATCTTATACCTGATCGGTTCGTCCAAAAATCATAGTCTCCCCTCATGAGTTTAATTCTACAAACAATATTGAAATTCATAGAAAATTTGTAAGGTTGGCTCATCGACGAAGCTCTAAGAAGATTAGAAAGAGCCGAAGATATTCCATCCAATCATCTTTTGGAAGAACATTATAAAATCTTGATATATAGCTTCCCTATTAGATAAGATGCGTCTTGGATGACTATGGTGATGATTTTGCTTTTACTGAAAACTATAAATACCTGAGAGTTTTGTACCATATTGAACATTGATTGGAATAACATTCCTTCTCATTCATCTTCTGTCTTCTCATTTGCGACTTGGAGGGTTTTAGCGTTCGAGTGCTCAGGTTGTACGTGGTATATCAAAAATCTGTGTTCTAGATACAACAAATTTTATGAAAAGCATGGAATTCCGTTTTTTAAGTTTATAAATAAAGCTCTGTGGTGCATTTGATTTGAAAGTTTACGTGCAAGGAATTCCATGCTTTTTATCAAATTATTATGGATTTCAATAATGTCAGAATGAGGGTTTTTTGAAATTGTAATAATTTAGTGATTGAATCCATGAATCAATTTTAGCTTAATCACCCTGGAAGCACTGGTTATATATGACTCCTTATCAGTGCACATCCACGATTCCGCACTTGGGATTCGAACCCAAGGACTTAAGGTCCCACGCGCGAACGCCTGACCTCTAGACTACTGAGCCAGCATCCAACGGTATTAATGACTAACTCAAACCAATCCACGTTATTGTAGAATTAAACTCATGAATTTTATTTTAGAATGTTCAATAAAAAAAGCCAGCATAAGTGCTGTTGGTGGCGTGATTGATGAGATGAGTTCACGTGTAGTCAAAGCCAGAGCGGCTTATGCTAATCTGAACCATCTTTGTCGCCTTCGTGATGTTAGTCTGGCTGTACAAGGTCGGATCTACAATGTGTCGGTGAGAGCAGTTTTGCTCTGTGCTTGTGAATCGTGGTCTCTCCGAGTTGAGGATGTTAGACGACTCTCTGTGTTTGATCACTGTTGTCTCCGAAGGATTGCTGACATCTAGTGGCAACACCATGTTAGTAATGCAGATGTTCGGCATCGTGTGTTTGGCCGCAGAGACGATAATCCAATTGGTGTCATCCTCTTGAAACACTGACTTCGGTAGCTTGGGCATGTTCTATAAATGTCGTCCCAGAGAATTCCACATCGTGCATTATTTGCCGACGCTAGAACAGGTTGAAAAAGGCGGAGAGGTGGTCAGTATACAACATGATGTCGTGATATGAACGAAAGCTGTACAGGATTGGCTTCTGTTAGTTCTTTACGACTCCCTGGTCAGAGTCCTAGAGATGGTGTGACACACTGGCTAAAGACATGGTCAGATATGGCTCAGAATGGAAATCAGTGATGATCCTGCTGTAACTTTATTTTACTTTCTTCATAAAAAATGGACATAACTTCTTGAAGTGGAAGAATTTGCTGTGGCTGTACTTTTGCTAATTGAACTGTCTCTCCTCTTATTATTATTATTATTATTTTTATTTCACTATTATACACTAATTCCTTTTCAAGTCAAAAGAATCACAATTAACTTACATATGTAGCCTACCTTAATTACATAAACTGAACATACTGATTCGGCAAATATTATCTGTGCAAGTTCGTCCACTGGTTGACAGTTTTTAGAACTACTTCGCAACACAGACTAGTTCCCTTTAGTTTGAAGGATAGCCTAGGGTTTGCAGGAAATTTGTACTATCATTTGTTATTTCATTGCCTTTAACAAAAATCAATTTGAAAGGAACGGTTGAATCTGTATATTTAATTTCTTGATCACTTTCCCTTATCAATCAATGAATTCAAATCACTCCTCTACATATGTACTGAAAATATACAATTTCAGTTCAGCGGTGTAATGTATCGTTAAATTGATAGAGTTACTATGGATGTCCCTTTTAGACGAAATTCTGGTTGATATATATTGGTAAGGAACTTGAAACGGATGAAACTAAAACACTCAATTAACGGAACTATATTCAATTATAGATAAGTTCGTGATACATAAGGTAGATAGATGATTTCATTTCTTAAATGCTGGGATTCAACACACACTAGAACAGAAGCTTCAAGGACATATCTAATATAAAATCACTTGGAATAAAGTTTACGATCAATGCATTATCAATACAAATTAACCTTTTCTAGTGTGGTTCATTTTGGACCAAATTGACTACTAGTTTAAAAAAATGCTGAATCTTGCGATTGTTACAAAAAAAAG